ACGACTGGGAGTGTCTAGTCATTAAGAAAGACATTAATGGATACTAGTGGTAGAAGGAGTAACTTACTCAACTTGATTAATTATGCTGACCGGCACTGCTGATACGCGAAACGTTATTTGAATTTGACCGCTTATAACAAGTGATTCTGCAGCACACATTCATTATTACAAATCCTTTCCAATATGACTTATCAAATTGTTCATTTCCGGCTTGGAGAACTTTATCATAAAAATGGCCGACATTACCGCCATAAGCGCGACTGTCGCAGATGGAGATGTTTTTCAAATAAGTATAGACCCGAACCCCTGTATAATTACGCTCCAAAAACCTGTAATTTAGTTCCTAGGCACAATTGGTTTTTATGTGTTTTGCGTATATGCAAATTGCAAAGATGCATGTTGGGAAGAGGCTGTGCATATGTGTGTGTGTGTGTGGAGTATGTGCCTATACTATGCGCAATCCTCCCCTTTTAATATCATTCCCCGCGGACGCTGGGTGCCGCGTGCGGAACCTCTAAAAAAAATATGCAAATTTTTTGACGGGAAAGCGATCTCGGGAACCAGACAAGATAAGGGGCTGAAACTTTGCAGGGATATTCCCTGTGCATGTATGACCTAAAGATTTCTAATTCAGCCTCCAGTTACGCGTGGTACTCACATAAGGGCGTATGAAAGTTCTAGCGGGAAAATTACGAACTCAGCACCTGAAAAGCTGGAAGGATGAAATTTTAAGGAGATGCTCACTGTTCGCGCGTAATTTAAAGATTTCAAATTCAGCTTCCCAGATACATGGATAACCCCGCGCGGTCATGTGAAAGTTTTGACGGGAAAATTACTAACTCAGGAACCAGGAAAACTAGAAACGTGAAATTTTAGGACAATATCCCCTGCCTAAATACAACTTAAATATTTCAAATTCAGCCTTCAACTGTGCGTGTTCTCACGTATGGGCACTTAAAGGTTTTAGCGGGAGAACTGATCACTGTACAGCCAGCTTACTTTCAAAGAATAACAGTTGCAGTGAAAATGTTCATTTACTTTTACCAAAATTTATGGTGATTTACTCTAGTGAGCGCAAAAGATAGATGTAAAGCAACAACCAATCATGCAGTTAATGACCAAAGTACTTCGAATCGGTGCAGAAACGCATGATCGCACCGGTAAGCCTGTTGCGTTTCTGCCTAGGATATCTATGGGCATACGAAAGTTTTATGCAAATTCGTCATTCTTCCCTTTTCATATCTTGCTCATTGAACAATCTGTGTTTTCAAAGAACGATTGGTAACAGCTAATTTATTATCCCTCTTTGTATAAAATTCAAGGTAATCATGCATGCTGGAGACTAAGATTCCAAGCGGCCCCACAGTGCAGTACAGCCACCCCAGTCGATGTCCTGTTTCCCCAATATGCCAGAAAAGACTGAAACGCTGCCAACATGAGTGCACATATTAAACTGTAAAGCAGCAATCAATCCTAATTTTTTGGGTTTGACTGTTTCCAGTTTAGCGTAAAAACGCATAACACCGTAGATCTAATGCGCCACTGTTAGCTAACTTACACGATAACTTACATGAAATGCGTCTTCATTCGCAAATGTGGATAAAAAAACATATGAACGCAAGACGCAGAAC